GTTCTGGTTTTTTTTTTTTTTTTTTTTTACAACCTTAGGAATAGCTTTAAACAATCATTGGATAAAATGTCATCATGTGGTATCCAATTCATGCCAGCACTTCTAGGTGTTTAGTTTCTGTATAGAGATATGTTTCACTCAGCTTGCTGTACATTAAAACATTTTTTTAGAATATGAAAATATGCACTTGATGTATACTTCAAATACAAAAAACTGCATAGTATGTTCATACAAATGTTAATGTTATGTGTATGTAGGACAAATCTGGGAAAGTCTGGGCATTAATGTCAACTGATAGACAGAAATATTAAGACATAATTCACTTACATATTCAAACTGATGTGTTTAAACATACTGTAAATCGTAAAGTGGTCTTGCCTTGTTGTCAGAGAAGTCGTAGTCAAGGGAGAACTGCAGTTTGCCGAGCTTCTCCTTCTCTTTCGGTTCCTCCTCTTTCTCTTCAGTTATTCCCATGTCTATATCTTCTTCATCGTCATCCTCGTCCTGTTTCTGGAGAGACAAAAGCACAGATGGACGTTAGAGGAGAAACTAGAGCAAAGGCAAAGGAAGGTAAATGATGTTCCCCAAACATGGTTCGTCGGGCCATTTCTCCGCTTACCTGAAGTTTGCCAGGTGTCAAACCACCCGGGTGTTACTGTATGTAACTGTGTCAGCAATGACCTTCATAGCAACATGACTTGATTTCACTTTTCCTTTCATGACACCATTTGCAATCGTCTACATTACTTTTGTGGAGGGAAAGACAGACATAAGGCTTCTAGTCTTTCTGAAGCAGTCTGTCCATAAATTGATTCTGAGTCTGCAGGGTATAATAAAACCCTGAGAAATGATGACTGAGTCTAAAGGACTCGCTTTTGCACAGGAAGAAAGATTTAGAAGATACAAAAGCAAAGTGTTGGTGCTTTAAAGCCAATATTCATATCAGCCCATATATACAATGTAAAATGAAGGACAATTTGGAAGAAACGTTTGGCAGACAGATACTAAAGATCACTGTACAAGAGCAGAATAAGTGTTATTTTACACATCATCATTTCTCACGGTCCTGCTGCTCTTCAAAATGACAATGGGAAAAAGCTGAAATGAAACTTATATTGTCATTTAATGTTTCTGTTGTAATTAATACTTTTGTGCCCTGTGCTGTAATTGAATATTACTTGACAAGGTTGTCTATTGTGTGTGCTACATACTGCAAAATATACTATAACATGACTTTTTAGATTAAATTAAACATAATAGTGTAATCATAAAAAAAATTCTTTGTTAAAAAAATTCTTCCAGTAATTTGGATTATATGGACAGTGTATAGCATATTAGTCACTGGATTTGCCAAATTATGTGAGGTCTGTGGGATCAAATCTTATTCGAAATTGAGTTTGAAGCACTTAGAAGCGAATAAATGTGATTTGTGGGCACATCTATATATTGTACTAACAGTCTGTACTTATTACTTTTGAGTAGAGTACATTAACTTCTCCTGACTTTTATATAGTATAGTATAAGTATATAGTATAACTGTTTGTCAAATGTACCATTATCTGAATGAGATATTTCCATCCTGGTTTATCACCAATTTAAAGGAATAGTTCGCCCAAAAATGAAAATTCTGTCAGCAATTACTTCAAACCGATAAAACATTAAATCATCTTCAAAACACATTCACATGTTTGTAATGAAATCTGAGAGATTTCTGTCTCTCCACTGAAAATCTGTTCCACCAAAAAATCTGATTCTTTGAAAAGTTTATAAAGAGATAAAAAAAAAAAATCCATATGAATCCAGCACTTTAATCCAAGTCTTCTGAATAATGAACAGATTTAATTTAGGCTTTTATTCACAAATGAGCATTAATCAACACACATATATCAAGCTCTGTTTTATAGAGTAAAATATGTCAAATATACTGTATGAACTTTTTGAAGTGTCAAAGGTTTGGGGGAAAGGACTTTCAGGATCTCTCAGATTTCATTAAAAACATTTTAATTTGTGTTTCGGTGAGCGAAAGTCTTATGGATTTGGAACAACATGAGCTCATGTGAGTAAATTATGACAGAATTTTTGGGTGAACTGTAACTTTAAGATTTTCCAATCCCTACGAGATAAAAAAATAAAATAAAATTAAAAAACTAACTTGGATTTGGTCACTTTTATATGTTTGTCAGATGTTTTTTCCCTTTCTAGATTGGCACTCTTGGTCCAGAATAATACCATGTCCCAACCATATGTGACGTGATGCTGCGACATGTGATGCTACGTCTTTTCAGTGTTATTAAAGGGGTCATATGATGCGATTTCAAGTTTTCCTTTCTCTTTGGAGTGTTACAAGCTCTTGGTGCATAAAGAAGATCTGTAAAGTTGCAAAGACTAAAGTCTCAAATCCAAAGAGATATTCTTTATAAAAGTTAAGAGTCAACCACACCCACCTAAAACGGCTCGTTCTAACACGCCCCCACATATCTACGTCACTATGTGGAAATATTAGCATAATGCCACCCAAATGTGCACGCAAAGAAAGAAGGTGTGGTTTCTGGAACAGCAGTAATGTTGATGCAGCCATGTCAGGGAGTCGCTGTGTGTTTCAGTGCGAAAGGGGTAGGCAATTTCGGAGGGGCTAGCACTATTGAAAGCTAGCTTTGAAAGCATAAGATTCCACCCTCCTTGCATAATCACTCTCCAAAGCCACGCCTCTTCCAAAACACATGAACGCACACAGGCAGACCAGAGGCTAACCAGAGTCATGATCAGAGACGGTGTTGGTGGAGGGTTAAATGCAATTCTGTCAGATTACCTCATGTCTCATTAATCGGTGAGAAAACATTACAGTAAAAACACAATACTACAATAATAACACCTTCCATTCTTGCTCGGTCTGCAGTAGCATAATGAAACACTGATGACGTATCATGTCTGCATGAACAGGGTGCATGGTATGCAAATACGTACGTTGACAGGAAAGTAGAACAGCTTATCGTAGCCCTCAGACCGAGGAATACGATTGGACAAACATGTTATGCTCATACGCCTTCCACAGACAATAGAAATACATTTAGACCACTTAACTAATGGTGTGTGCACGCCAAACGTGAAGCAAATATTTGCATCGTGTTACTCGCTCTAGTTTACTCGCGGGATGTTTTTTGCATAACCCGCGTGAATAAAAACAATTAAAGGGGTCATATGATGCTGCTAAAAAGAACATCATTTTGTGTATTTGGTGTAATG